CATGCTGGCTGGAAGAAACTCATCCTAATGTCACCCCCAGCATAAGCCACATGGCAGAGGGTTCCTTATCTGGCTTGCATGAGAAACTGGGCATTCCAGATGCCTAAGCAGCTCACCAAAAGCAAAAGAGGACAGAGAGGGCTCAATTCTGGGGCACTTGGATAGTGAAATAATCATCGGGGGAAAAATGCCTGTGTGACCCTTTTTGCAAAACATGACATTTTTATTTTAAAACAGAAGTGTCATTTGTAATGCAGGAACAAATTTGGTTCTATGCTAGAGGAAAAATCTTACCGTTTAAAAGCATTATACATCTTTTCAAACGTCAAAGGCTGGCGCATGCATATGGTGGCTCGTAGAGACAGAACTAATGCAGAGGGCGCATTCTCAGGCCAAAACTTCCCAGTTAGCGAAAGCCAACCAGCCACAGTATTTAGTACACATCTGAATCTGAAGCCGAGGACATCGGGGGCAGAGCTATCAAGGAAGGATTAACAAGGAATGAAAGTGCAGATGCACCTACTCTGAGGTTCTGACGTTTTCTGATAGCTTGGCAGGGTTTTTTATAGGCATTCATGGCAGAGTGAATTCAGTCTCACATCTTAAGAGATACTTCACTTTACTTACATCTCAAAACCACCATGAAGCACAAACTTGACTTCTCACTCACTGGAAAAAACACCCTAGGGCTCCGCTCCTACTCCCCACCAAAAGGTGTGAATTACCTAAAAGTGACACCTTTTTCGTTTGGCACATGTGTCTATTTCAAATCCTCAGCTTCCCAGCATCCAGAGAATCACAGGATCTGACTTTGTCCCCAAGGACTCACATAATTTGTATTTCCTGGAAGATAAGCACCAGCCAAGTTTTCACCTCCCTTCACTGTAGCCTCAAAGGTACTAGGGATCAATTTCACCAGCTCCCCCATCTCCCATCGCTCTCTTTACTCACAAACCAAAGGGGGCAGAACTACCTTCCTCATCCCTCTTGTGCCCTTCACATCCTGCCGATGCCTCCTGGTGGCACCTACACCTCCTGTGAACTCCCAGCCGACAGGACAAGCGCCTGTCATTTTCTCTCTGCCTGAAATAGCTACAGCAGAAGCATTCATCCGAGACAGCTTCCCTCAGCGCTGCTGAAGTTCTCAGCGCTGCAATCAAGCACCCATTTGCGTGACCCCTATGGCATAAATAATTTATGTAGCTAATTAAAATATATGGAGGATTTTTTCAAGATTTCTAAAATTAGATGTAACAATCAGCAATAAATGTCTGATCGTGGAAAAGCTTATTTACCCGGCTATTAGGCTTTGATGCTTTAAGGATTTAGGAAGGAGGGGCAACAAGTGGAAGAAATTACAGGAAGAACTTCAAATGGTACATCAAAAACACGTCTACCTCAACCTCCACGCCTCTAGTACTCGGAATTGAACCCACGGCCTTTTGCATGGAGTTACATTCCCAGCCCTTACCTTTTATTTTGACACAGGGTCTCACTAACTTGCTAAATGGCCCAGGCTGGGCTCAAATTTACCATCCTCCTGCCTTAGGCTCCCAGAGCACTGGGATTATAGGCATGTGCTACCACGCCCAGGTACACCCACCTCCTTAAAACTAGAGGTGCTCACAGATATGACGATTTTCTCCTATGGTTTTCTTTAAAACCACCCCTGGTTAACAAAGTAACGTGGAATTATGAGGACTCTAAGCTTCCCCAAGTGAAAAAGCAACTGTAATTAAATTCATACTCATGAGAAATAATGGTGTGAAGAGAACTGTACCAGAGTAAACAAAAACATCTTTTTCAAATACAGAGTTCGGAAAGATACATATTGTATCCCTCTCCTCTGTATGTAAGTCAGTGTTTCTCAGCCTCAACTCCATGCACATCTGGGACCAGATAACTTGCCACTGGTGGGGTGCTGCCCTGCAACATCCTGCCCTGCAGGATGATCAGGAGCATCCATGGCCTTGACCCACCTGATGCCCACCAGCAGATACCTCCAGTCACTGTCAAATGGCCTGGATGTGACGCCCACTGCTGTCAATGGTTTCTCACAGCTGAGACTCTCCTGGCATAGGAGCACCACCCAAAGAGGGCTTTCCTCAGTTGTCCCGCTGCAGGAGTGCCAAGACGACATCACTCGTGATCTTTCTGAGCAATGACTGACCTTCTCCTCTAAGCACTTCTTCCCATTCTCATACAGGCTTCGTCTTGACGGACAGGCAAATCTCACTGACAACTTCAGGGCCAGAAGGAATCTCAAGTGTTCCAAAACAAAGCTGAGACATTAAACGAATCCCTAGAACTCGGAAGAGGCTCTCCACTTTATTCCACAGTGATTTAAAGTCACTGGTTCCCAGAATCATCTTCCTAGCATGATGGTCAAAGACTGACTATAGGTCAAGTCACTGGATGCAGCGACCTCCTGCAAACCATTGAACTTCTGGTTCTCCAGTCTAAGGAGAGAAAATCAATCACTGAATCTGAACATTCTCATCTCTCCAATCTAGTTTCTATGAACCCTGCAAAGACCACAGCTACTTTTACTCCTAAAAGGGGGTTGTTATGGTTTGTGTCTAGATGTTCCTTAAAGCCTCGTGTGGTTACAGGTGAGGCTTTTTCAGAGGTGACTGGATGTACAGTGTGTGAGGCTGGGATGGATTCATGGTGTAATACTACGATCAAGGGCACTAGGATTAAGGATATGAGTGCCACCCACCCTAAGCAGCCTGGAGGATAAGAAATAAGTGATATAAAGACCTTTGGTTGCCCTGTGCTTGCTTTGCTACCTTCTGCCTGCCATGTTTCTCTGAGATGCCTGTCTGCCACGCCATCCTGCCAGGTAACAAGCTGTGAGCCAAATAAGCCTTTCCTCCTTTAACTATGAATGTCAGGCATTGTGTCTCAGCAAAGAGAAAAGTAACTAAGACAGGGGCACATTTAAAAATATACACATACTGTGTTCTACCATGTGGGTCAACCATAGTTCTAGTCACAGAAGAACACTAGTGTCAGTTACAGTCACTGTTTGCCAGTTCTGTAATACAATGTACCAAAAGATCAACTGAGTTTGAATCCTGGCAGTGCCCAGGACCCTCTGTGTGACCCTAGACATCTTCCTGAGCACCATGCCTTAATCTGTTAAATGGGGGTGAGAGCAGTAAATATTACACAAAATAGCAATGGCCCTGTATAACCCTTTCAGCCCAGAAGCAACACACATTTCAGGCTGCATTGCTAACTAGAACAATAACAGTCACTTTTATATAAATCATTCTCTGGATCCATGCCCAAGAAGCTGCATGCCAGTCTTTCTTAATGCATTTATCCACCAATAAAGTTGAGTATCCTATATGGAGCTACCGAGCACATGAAATGTGGCTAGCCCCAATCAAGACGTATGCCCTATGCGTAAAATGAACATTGAGTTGAAAGACTTAATATGAAAAGAATGTAAAATATTATAACTTGTAATATAGATCATATGTCAAAATTATAATATTTTGAATAAAGTTAAAGTCATTAAAATTAATGTCTTAAGTATTACTTTCAGCATGACTAGTGGGAAATTTTTAATTACATATGTGTCTTGCACTATATATAGTTCCATTGGATTATGCCAATATAATCCAGCCTCCTCCCATCCCCAATGTCATATTCAGTTCAGGTCAGGTCAAGAAAACCTTGCCGGGGATTTAGCTCAGCGGTTCGGTGTCCTGCCTTGCAAGCGCAAAGACCCGAGTTCAATCCCCAGTACCAAAAAAAAAAAGAAAACCTTTCAAGAAATCTCATCTACTTTCTGTTGTATTTAATGGTAGAAAACAAGCTTCGGAAGTCTCCTAAGCCCCAAGTTTGTATCTAAATTACAGAAAACTCTCACCAAGGGCAGGTAACTAGTAGGGATTTAGACACAAGACCCTTCTAGAATTTGACCTAATGTGACTCTCCAGGTCTTATTTTCAAATAGGCCAAGAAACAGCCAAGAAATGGAAAAGAAGTCGATCACCTGGTTTGAATTCCAGCTTCTTATTTCCCATTTGACCTTCAGCAAGTCATTTGACCTCTCTTCACCTCTAGCATCTAATTCATAAAATGATGATCATTAACAGGGCACAGCTCAGAGAGATGTGGTAAAGAGGGAGAAGGCACAGTGTCTAGTACATGATGACCACTCAAGAAACAATAGATAAAACCTTAATGGTCTTAAACTGGCAAGAGAAGAGCTCACAGAACTCAGGTTATTTTGGCTCAAATCACATAAAACCTATGCAGCATCACCAAAAACATAAAAGCAAAAGGAATTTTTAAAAAAACTGTGGTAAGAACATTAATTATGATGATAAGGAAATAGTACGCAACAGGGCAGCCCCCCTACGTTTCTGCCATCAAATGTTCTGCTCAGCAGAGTAACTGTGCTGCACTATGTTCCTGCCCCAATGTATCAAAATGTTCTGTTCAAGCAACACAACTGTTTGCGCTGCCAGATGTTTCTACCAAGTTTTCAAGAATGTTCTGTTAACTCTGCCCATCGGACTCAATGAGCATGTCTGCCCCATAGGTGGGCCCACCCCACTATCCCATAAATCTCTGGTTGCTTCTGTTTCTGTTAAGGGCTCAGGCTCCTCTGAGCCCGCCCACCGGCATAATAAATTTCCCTCCATCTCTCCAAGTGCCACTCAACTTCTCCTGCAGAGACCTTCGGGTGACCATAATACATGGCTATAATGCTGAGCTGTCACACTCAGCTATAACATTAAGACCTTCCTCCTATAAGATATTAATATATAGGTACAATGTTTCAAAACAGGTATCCAGAAACTTCTTTGACTAAAGAAATTGTGCCTGCTGACTAAGAATCCCCATTTCCCCCTTTTCAGAGTGTGGTTTGTTTGGCATTTTTTCATGTTGGATGGAGACCTGGGCCTTACATACACCTGCCACATGTTCTACCACTGAGTTATACCCCTGACCCCCAAAATTATATTTTAATAACCTACCTGGGTTCTACTTCATCAGCCAAAGGGTAACAGGGTGAGAAGTTTTGAGCAAAGAATGATCCGGATTCTCACTTTGAAAAGAAACCTCCAGGAAGAACTGGATTGTCAGTGCTAACCCGATCAATGGATTAACCCATTGATAAGTTCATAGCTGAATGGTCTATCAGGAGGCGGGGCCTATTTCGAGAAGTAGCTCACTAAAGTGTGACTTGGAAGGGTAGAACTTTTCTTCAGCTATTTCCCTCTTACTTTACTTCCTAGCTGCCGTGAGACAAGCAGCTCCCTCACACCAAGCCCTTTCACCTGGCACTGGAGCCTGTCTTGGACTGACACTGGGAGCCAAGACACACCTTTCTTCCTTCAAGTTGTGTATTTTGTCCCAGCAACTGAAAGATCTTGTTCTACTTGTTACATTAACTTGAATCAACTTGGCTACAGTACACAACTCTCTGTGCTGGGCCCTCTCAAGTATAAGCCACAGATGTTTCTAAAAGGAGTCATCTTCCCACATTCTCTGCTATCCTTTACCAAACAGAGATCTCATTATTATGTCAAGTCAGTAAACAGGATGACAGGGTCACAACAAGGAAGCAGCAACATCTCCCTTCAATATTTCAATAGTCATCTCTGAGTAATCAGGGGGATGACTCCAGCTCCGACATGATTACCAAACATCTGTGGATGTTCAAGTCTCTTCCATGAAATGGTACAGTACTTAAATAACTTTACTTATATACTTCTCTGGATTATAATCATCTGTACATTACTTACAATACCCAATACAGTACAAGTGCCATGCAAATAGTTGTTTAACAGTATTGTTTAATAATAACAAGGGGGAAAGACTCCACATATTTAGTAGAGGTGCAATTTTTAAATATTTTCAATCTGTAGTTGTTTCAATCCAAGGATAGAGAAGCCCATGGATACAAAAGGCTGACTGTATTGCACTGTCCTCTGGTCACACCCAAATTCAGCTGAAATTTGTCTGAGAGGACAGAGAAAAAGTACTAACCAGTACATCTGAGCACCTGTTGGGCCCATTTTAGACACCAGCCTGCCACTAGAATGCTGTGACAGGTGTGCCAACCCTCTTGGACCTGCTAATAAAGAACTTAAACTCAAAGACTGCCAACTAATGGTAAATCCTGCACCAAAGAAACTCTTTCTTTTCCATCCTTCCAACCCACTCCCCTCACTGAAAGTAAATGAGTAGACCAATCACCACAGCTTATAGGAATAAACATCACAAAATCACCTAGGGATACATCAAAGAGAAAGACTCTTAATGAAACTTATTTGGGGGTTAAGTTAAAATTCACAACAGTACCATGAAATTCAGTATGCCATAAAAATTTATGGTAGTCCTTAAAATTTTATTTTGAAAAGAAAATCCAACTGATAATAGTTAAGGAGAGACAGAAGTTCTATAAGCCTATAGTAAGAAAAATGTTATCAGAATAATTCAGTATTCCATCCCCTTTGGCTTTCTCTAAGAGGTTTTTCAGAAGTAAGCCTAAAATAAAAGCTATGTTTCAGGCCTTATTAATTTTCTTAGATTTCAATTTAGCTGCAAAATAATCCTTTATGGTCCCATCAACCAAAAAAGTTAACCTTTTAAATGGTCTTTTCTCTACAGATAAAGACAAGGTTGCTGAAATCGCCAGAGCTCGGCTGTCTCCAGTGAGGGCACGGAAAGGCCTAGGATCTGGCCATCTTGACTTTCTTACAGGACTCTGTGAGGAATGAGAGTTAGAAACTTTTTAGGGGAATGGGGTGGGTTCTCTCCCTCTGACTCTGTATCTGTGTGTCTGCCCTCACCTTCTCCCTCTCCCCCCTGTCCAAATGAAACTAGTTCATAGCTGGGCATGGTGGTGCATATTTATAATCCCAGCTACTCAGGAGGCTGAGGCAGGAAGATCACAAGTTTGAAACCAGCTTGGAAAACTCAGCAAGACCTTGCCCCCTGTACCTCAGAAGAGAAAGAACTCAACAGGTCCACACAGGGCTAAGTGGATAGTTACCTGACCATTATGGTCCTCAAGCCCCCGAAGTTCCCTGCAGAGACAAAGAGCTACCGCCTACACTACATGCGGAGAAGAAGGACTGAACAGATGGAAAAGTTTACTTTGACCCCATCTGGGAGATAGATTGTAACCCCGGGGAACCACTGCCCCACCTGCTATAGCATCTCAGCTTCTCACTGCCTGCTAAATAGATGCAAAAACATCTCTGGCCACTTCTGAGTGTTTTGAGGTGAGATATCCCGAGGTCAAGTTCTGGGCAGAGCCTCCCACAGCAGGGCCCAGCCCAAGTCTATCCCTGTAAGGACCAAGCCTACAGCCCCATTTACAGAGACACAGGCCTGTGGCCCAAAAGGGACTCCCCCAAGGACAAGCACAATTCCATGGCAAGGAAAGCAAAGGGCCAAGAATGTCCTCTACAGTAGGAAATCTGTGTCAACCTCTGATGCTATGGGGTTGTGACCAGACTATCACCCTCTGCTGGTAAGAGTGCGGATCTTATGTCCTGGCAGGTCACAGGGGTGGAGCTGAAGGCATGAAAAACATTTCTCAAGCTGCTATGTGAAAGCTTCTCTGGGTTACACAAAAAGCATAAGGCACTTTATAGCGGAGACGGCTCTCTCGCCTAGCCCATGCCTTTCTTTTTCCTTTTAGCACCACCTCCCCTGCCCAGGTTTCAGCGCAGCATCTAGCTACCACCAAAAGGGGTGCTGCCCATTTCCACTAAGAGCTGCAACCACATGGCCACGTGGTTCTTACAAATGGTTCCTGAGCAAAAGAAAAACATTCAAACTCTGCCTCATTAAAAACAGGAGCACAACTCCTCTTTCTTCCCCTCTTCCTCCAGCTCAGAAAAGGTAACAACGAGGTAGCCAGGTTCAGCCCAGAATAGAAGCCCAGAAGAGTGCTGATAATCAGTGAAGGACCAGGAAGCACTGGGCAGTCAAACCTGGACCTTCTAGGAGAGAAGAACACATCTGTGTCATGCTCAGACTCTGGGTTTCTTTATCACAGAATCTAAGCCAGAGCTGAACTAATTCTTCTGGTCTGAGTTTTAGATCCCATCCAAATCCCCCAAATAATTTTTTCTAAATCAATGAGAGTGTACTCTAAATATCATCTGCCCCGGATGGGACATTTTCATAGGAAGATGATGATAGAAACTGGATGCTGATGGCCCCATTCCCAGCTTCCAAGCCCTGCTTCTTGGAGACAATGACCAGCTCTAGCCTCTCTCCTCCAAGAGGAGCACTGGCCTAGGTCAACCTCAAAGCCTAAGCATTTTTCAGAGGGGCAGTGACACCAGCTATCAAAGAATGTGATGGTCAAACCCGCAGCCCCACAACAAAGAGAAGCAGTTCTCAAGTGCCACAGAGCCTATGCTAAGTTGCTGGTACAACTAGAGATATCTGCAGCCACCTTCCTTCAAACAAAAAGAAACAGCAGAATTAGCAGTGGTCATTAGCAATAAGGTTTACTGTGCACTTACTGTTATTTTCTAGGTATTTGTCAAGTGCTTCACATGTACACAGGAATATGCCTGGGGCCAGAAATACTTCAAATTTTGGAGCTTTTACATTTGCGAGTATTTGCATATACGTGGGATATTCCAAGACTGGTAGCCAAGTCCATGAAATTCATTTCAGTTTGCTATAAACTTTGTCTGAAAGTAACTTTATACAATATATTTTTCAGTGCACCTGCATTTTGCTTGTGACTGGTTACATACGGTTGGTGTGGAATTTTCCACTGTGGCATCCTGTCAACATTCAAAAAGTTTCAGATTTTGGAGCATTTTCAATTTTAGATCTGCAGATTAGGGATATTCAACTTGCAATGGATATTTTAAAAATTTTACTTGTATTAATTTTAGATTACTGAAAAGTTGTGAAAAAACTGTACAGAGAGTTCCTATATACCCTTCACCCAACTTCTCTTCAGGTTAATATCCTACATAAAAGTAGTACCAAAACCAGGAAATTCACATTGACAAAATACTATTACCTAACTCTACCAATCCTGTTTGAATTTCACCCAATTTTCTCACTAAATTGTTTTCTTTTTTCAACTTCAGGATCAAAGGAAGACCTCATGTTGCCTATAGTTATTATATCTTCTTTATCTCCTCTAATCAGTGATATTTTTGAAACTCCAGGTCAGTTATTTTCAAAGCATCCCTACTATTTCCAAGATTAAAGTTACAGGTACTTCCAGCAAGAATACCACTGAGGCAATGTTTTACCTCTCAAGCATAGTTCGTGTGTATGTCACCTCGTTACTGGCCGTTAACCTTGACTTCTTGGTGCTTGTGCTATCTGCCATTTTTTCCCCACTAAGCTTATTGGTATGTTTAAAGCAAACAATACAGTTACATTCATCACTGGGATCCTGTACCTTTACATGACAGGTCTTGGTTCTCATTTTTTCCCATGCCCCTGCCCTCCCTTCACCCACTTCGCCCTTCCCTATTTACGAAGACTTTGTTTCCATTTCTTCCTTTTTTCACATTTTTTTCTTTTCCTTTATTTCCTTTCCCCTCCCCTTCCCACTTCTCCTTTAGCCATTTTCTTCCTATTTCACACTTTGAATTATACCACTTGAACCTTATTTACACTTTTAGTTTTTCACACCAGAGAAACTATTCGGTACTTACTCAAGTGCGTCTTATTTTACTTAGGAGTACAGCCTCATGTGAATCCATTTAGCTACACGTTTCCAGTTTCTCATTCTTTATGGCTGCGTAGTACTCCACAATTTATGGAAAAACCACATCTTCTTCATCCAGTCTCCAGTTCATGGGCATTTGGGTTATTTCCAAGTTTTAGCTATTACACACTGTGCCATTTTCTTTTTCTATGTAAGTATCCTATGCTATTCTGAGACTATGAAAAGACTGTCTTATCAGACTTTTTCACCCACTAATCTTAGTATGTACTGAAGGCGCTGACCTGCAGCAGTCATTGCCACAGTGTTGCCTGTTTATTTTCTACCTCCATTACTCCTTCCTCATTTATTACTAGAGCCGTTCTCCAAAGAAAAGCTGTTCCTGGACCAGGGATTTGGCTCAGTGATTCTGCCACCTGCCTTGCAAGCACAAGGGCATGAGTTTAATCCCCAGTACCAAAAAGAGCTGTTTGTCCTACATCCTCCCATTTATCCGTTTATTCAAATATTCATAAGAGCATTATTTAATTCTAAGAGTTATAACCCAATCCTAGCAACACAATGATTTTTTTTTTTTTTTTTTTTTTTTTTGGTACCGGGCATTGAACTCAGGGCCTTGCACTTGCAAGACAGGCAGCAGAACCACTGAGCTAAATCCCCGGCCAACACAATGAACTCTTAATCCGATAATAATTCTGATACTACTGCCATTGTACTATTGGGAAATAAAGGAGACTTTAACCCCTGCCTAAAGTCACTCGGTTGGTCAGCGGCAGAGATG